AGTTTTATGACCTGCGATATAAGTGGTAAACCTTAAGCAACCTTAAGCAATCTTAAATAACAATGACAGTGAATAAAAGAACTTTCCCTTTTTTCTAAATTGACTATTTGATATATGTTTGTGCTAGCTCTTACTGTTTGTCCTTAATTTTTTCTTATTGCGAACAAAATTTACGAAAACTGTAAGCAACGGAAATTTATATTTCCAATAAAAAAACCATTAGAAGCTGGAAAACATTTAACATATAAATTTATTTATTATTTACATATTTACATATTTTATATACATATACATGTAACATTATGTTTGCTGGGATTACAATAAATATCAAATTTATATGACGCGAACAACACAACCTAATCTGTCACCGCGGTTAACAGCTGCAAGCGGCACGAATTCAACTGCGACGGGATCGAGACAATCGAGACGGTCGAGACAGCCAATTAGCGCCGCGGAAAAGAGGCTTTACCCACTTCGATACATTCGAGATTTAGTTAACACGCACTTTTTCTGATAGGATCCAACTCAATGTTCAGCTTCTCTACAATAAACAACAGAATATTAAGTAGTAGAGTTAATTATGAAATTATTAAGTCTTAGATATTAAAAATTATTAAGATAAAGATTAAAATTAATTATTAGATATTATAAAGTTATTAAGTTATTAAGTCTTAGATATAGTCAGATATACAAATTTACACAACTAGTAGAGTTTTATAGTTTGTACTGTTTTTATATTTCGATGCAGAGAATTATAAATACTTTTAAATGCTGTCAATATATAAAAAAGTACCAAATATTGAATAAAAAAATTTGCAAACAAAATAATTTATTTACAAAATTTTTTTATATAATATTATATAATATTTGGTATCTTATCATGCATTGATATTTATATTTTCATCCTATAAAAACATTTACAATTCTATAACATACTATTTTTCATTTACAAGAAATTATTTTTTGTTTTTCATACAATAGTTAGTATTTTTTATGCTTTGACATTTGTACTTTCACTTTATAAAAGTATTTACAAATGTTTGAAACCAAATAGAAAAACAGTGCAAATTACGAGTCTATATTATGTTAGTATTCAGCAACCTTTTAACATTAAGGCTCTTATTGTAAATTCTTGATAATACTGCCTCTAAATATGGCTTTCTGATCAGCTCATCAGAACATTGAATGACATTTTTACTAATAAAAGAGAAATTAGAAAGGATCTAATAAAAGTTATTAATATTTTCTATTTACATACAAATTTACTTTTGGACATGAATGTAAAACTATTACTGATAGATATACTACTCTGATACATCATTGGCACTTCTTTAAATAATCAATAAATAACAAATATATATTATGTACGTTTAGAAAATTCTAATAACTTTAATGCATGATATGTTGAGGTTGTCGGTCTTCGTCACATTTTGAAAGTAGCAACAATCAACTATTCATGAGCAGCAGTATTGTACACTTTAACATTCGAGTCCTTCTGCAGATAATCCAAGGTCAATTTGCAAAAGTTTTGTAGAACTGTGAAAATCACGATTACGATTATTTCTTACGACTTTCTCGTAGTGAAATATAAGTTTAAACATTAACAAATGATTTGCCTGTATCTGATTGTTCTGCTAGAAACAATACATGCTTCTTGTGACCAGGCTTCAGTATTAGCAATATCTTAAAAAAAAAAAAAAAAAAAAATCGAGATAGTAATGGCTATAAATAGCATCTAATAATTTTTTCGGATCAGCAAATAACAACACAATAATAATTTTTGCTATATTGTATCGAAGACATGATATAACTCGATAATGAGTTATAATACATTTTTTAATTTATCCTTAAAATCCTGATATTAAAAATATCGCCGCTATTTGAGGGACGATTTTAAATTTAATCAGTACATATATAGGGCGAGTTTTTTAATTCATCGATGGATCCATCGATAAATTAAAAAATTCGCCCATATAACACAACCCAGGTAGCAAGGTGACGTCTAAAAACGTCATTAAAACATCATAGACGTCTTAATGATATCTAAATGACGTCTTTTGACGTCACTATATATTACATTACTGATTTGTTTTATATTATTTACAATACATTTTAATTAAATTGAGGCCTATATTAACAATCGTTATTGAAAAATGCTTTAAGTGAAATATTCAAATTTGAATTTAGTCAGATAAAAATTCTTCAGCTGAATTATAATTATAAATATAAGGTCACATATATATAAACAACCAGCATAAACTTTTGAAAGACATCTTAAAAATATATAAAAGAAATAGGATACTTTTTAAGGTGTTTTGTAGAAGCTTGTGCTATCTGAGCTATGATTAAAATAGAAAACTCAAGTCTAAATTCAGGTTTGAGCATCTCTTAAGAAACAAATTTCAAATAATAACTATTTTAAATGTATCGAGTACTACAACTGCTAATTCTAATTGGTTTGTATTTAAATTTTGATGAAATCTAAAAGTATATCAATTAGATCCAAGAGCCCACTGAGTGGTTGCAGTACGAATAGACCCAATAGAAATCTTGTAGGATCGTATTAATAGTTATTACTTGTAACTCTCGTCTTAAATATTCGTCTGAAATATTCAGATGAATCCCAAGTTAGATTTTTAGTCAAATCAAATTTTTAGTCAAATTCTAGATATAAATATCATATAAATCATAATTGAACTGAAGTACTTTAATTTAATTCTAAATAAAAATCTATATATCTTATATAAAGCATTGTTTCTGATAATAATTATTAATGTACAAAGGTCTTAGATTTGTATTTAGAGCTAGATGTCAGTTTTTCAGTATATCAATATATATTACATATTTTATAATTCAAATTCAATTGAAATCTATATGTAACTTTAGATTAGATCTGAAAACCTTATGTGAGATAAGTTTCAAATAATGACAATTTGTTTTTCTAGACTAAAATCTTCTTACATTCAGGTAAATCAATACTTGCAGCTTCAGTGCTGTTGTCTCATTGATGGTTTTCTTTTTCTTTTTGCATACTCTATAATATTAATCTTTTTTTCCTGTACTAATAAGTGTTATTATTATGAATATAAACTTAAATTTCAAATTAACAACAATTATAAGTACTATTAAGCATATAGTATTTATAAATTCTATGAATAGGAAATTAATGATTATCAAAAGACATTTATTATAAAATAATTGCTAATGCATTTATTGATACAAAAGAATTGAGAAGAAAACGTATTCTGTGATTTATATAATTTTCAATTTAAATAGATTGTGTTTAAGTTATTGTGACACATATAGCTGGGTGACTCATTATTAGTAAACATTGCATAGTATAAATAAATAAAATAAAGTTTACATTGCTCATACAGTGAGGAACGTTGTTGACCTTAAACGTTAATTTCACTTCACTTGTGTTGACATGTAAATGTTTATTACACGATTAAATATAATTTCTATGCGACTAAGAGCTATTGCGACTGTGATGTTATACTTTCTATTGGAAAAACGACATTTTCATCTGAACTTGCTGAAACGTCTACTGTATCTTCTCGAATGCCTTTCTGTGAGTATCCATTTTTTTGTCTAAAGTAGCAATTAGATCCTCCATATATTTTCTGAAATGGACACATAAGTTGAATGTTCTAGTAAGATAAAAATACCAATTTCCGAACACATGCACTGAGAGGAAAATGTTTAAAAAATAAAAAATATTTACTTATAGTGGATACTAATAACACATATTTACTGATACCAATACAAAATATTTTTGAAATAATAAGATATACATTTTCCTAAAAACCTTTAGCTTCTCATAAGAGCAATGGTTTATTTTATATATTATTAATTTATCACTAATACATTACAGATAATATATTTACATAAATTTAAATTTCTTCCTTTAAATAAAATAAATCATTACTTTTATAAAAAAATTAAGATTTTAAGAAAATATATTTCGTTATTTGAGAAATATTTGATATTAGTATCAGTAAATATGTTATTGATATTTTTAGCGAATAAATTTTTATTTTATTTTTTTAAATATTAACTAGCTAGTGCTCCAGACGCTTTCGGACGTTTCCATCTCAATCTTTTGGCAACGTACCGGCGCGACTTCTTAATCCGTCTTTTAAAATCAACTGCGGGAAGGCAATGAGAACGCGTAAAAACCGCTAGGAACAGTGAGTAAAGCGCAAATACGACAATCTGCGACGACAATTCCGAAACTTTATGAGCGTTCGAAGGAGCGTGACTCGAGTTAGCGCAGTAAAACTGTGTAATGGTCTTCTCGTACGAAGTATCGATAATAAGCGCGCCATAATCCACTATAATCGCTCTCGCGTCTACTTGAGCCACTTCATTCTCCAATTTAAAAGAGTATCGGAAGGTACATTTGTGTGCAATTCGGTTGTATGCTTTCGCAATGATATTGCGAAATCTCTTAGAACTCGTTATTTCTTTCCTCGTGAGCGACACGAAGTATATGCTGGATCGAATAAATTCCGTCCGTAAGCGCAGCGCGTGCATGCATGATCGGATATTTCCATACGATGAACGGAAGCCTATGCACTGTTTCATTTCTCTTCCACACGACAAAGAATTTATCGATCTTCGAGATTACACCACTAGGAGACGCGCCTCACATCTTCCTCATGTATTTTAAATAGATCAAAGATAGATGGACACATTTAAATAAGCATAAATGAATACGCGACACATGAAACGACGTTGATACTTTTGCGAACAATTTGCAAGCTACAGGAAAATGCTTTTTGCGAATCGTAGCAGGTAACTAAATCGCGTTTCTCGATTCAATGCCGTAAACTTTAAAGGAATTTTTATTTGATTTCACAAAAGCAAAACATTTGTATACCTAGAGAATTCGAGGGAGAGAATTTTTTGTGTTCGAAATAAATTATACTAAAATATATATATAAAACACATTTCTTTTACTATACTACATATTTTATATATTGTATTAAAATATATAATTTTAGTTAAATATAAATATATGTGTCACATACAATATATATTATACACGTGTACATACTTATATTTGGTAATTACATATTATCTGTATATGAAAGTTTATCAAAATAGCGTCATTGTTTTATAAAAAGTGTGTATGTATAAATCATCTGTTTATAATATGGCATATATGCACGTAGTAACATGTATGTATCACGATACAATAGGAACTTTTAAAGATGTTTTTTATCAACATCTATACTGACGAGGTCTATACTAATGAGATCTATACTGAAAAAATATCTAAAAAATAGAAAAAAATATTTACTTGATGCGTTAATAATATGTTTAGTTATATAATATAAAATAGTGTTTAAATAAGGAAATATATATTTTCTTAAAATCTAAAGAAAATTTTAGCTTTTTATAAAAATAATTGTTAATTCTTTTTTAATAAAAGAATTTAGATTAATTATTCTTCATTAAAAGCTACATCGTGTAAATATTTAGTAAATTTTTTTCGATATTTTTTCTTCGGTACATAAGGACGAAGTTTCTTGTTGATACGTCTCTGAAACCACGTCTCTCTGAAAAAAAAACATGACAATGTTTTAAAAATTGATATGTATCACAAACGCAGTCTTATTTACACGAAACTAAGATAATTGCTAATATTAAAATGTAGTATTGTAATGACGTCAGAATTGTTATTGCCACTTGTTCTCTCTATTCATTTGATTCCTTGATGATCCCATGGCAATTATAATTGTGCCAATTTAATTTTCCATGAAACAAAAATATATTTGATGTCAAAATTGCCACTTTCTGCTTGTTTTTTGCTTGCATTCATCCGTTATATGGCAATTATAACTATATCAAATTTACTTTTCCATTGAAAAAAATTGATTGGCCCATTTTTGTGAAGCATCTGATTTATATTAAACGCCCACTCTAGAAAAGTTTTATAAAAAAAATTTATAATAAAATCTGTATAATAAATCTGTATAATAAACTATTGAAATTTCATTATTTATTATACTCCATAGAGTAATAATAAATAATGAATACTCCTTTACAAGATATATGAATCTCTTAAATTAAATGATATTGAAATTTAATTCTTTTTGAGATTATACTTTCGCAAGGGAAGTACATTCTGATTAAAGTGGAACAATCTGTATGCTATAACTAATATGCTTCTGATATTTTAGATACTTTAAAACAATTATTAAATTATATGTATAATATTAAATATATATATATATATATATATATATATATATATATATAGTTGTGGTAATATTAGTTATATATATGCGATATTAAATATATTATATTGGTATTATATATATATTATAACTTTAAAAGCTTATATTTACCTAGATAAGCCACTGTATGTTACACAAAGCTCATCCCATATCTTTATAAACTCCTGTTTATATTTTTCAACGACTTCTGGATTATTAGTCACTATTAAATTCTCAAAATTCCCAAAAAATGCAGACATGGTCCAGTTTGTACTACCAGTTATCAAGATGTGACAATCAATAACAACAAACTTATGATGCATCAAAGTTTCTTCACTGTTCTGTTGTACATACCGTACTTCGATACCTGCAAGCAAAATAATAATGTAAGCTGCAGTCATTTCATCATTATTATATAGACACAGAATAGGACATAGAGTATCCCATTTTAATCAATATACTTGAATCTCTTAAATTAAACGATATTGAAATTTAGTTCTTTTCAAGATTATACTTTCGCAAAGGAAACACATTCTGATTAAAGTGGAACAATCTGTATGCTATAACTAATATGCTTCTGATATTTGTTCCTTACCTTTTGATTCATATAATGCAACTTTGGTACTTATGTTCATTAATGCCCCAGTATCTGTTATTATTTTAACAGTGATACCTCTTTTTTTTGCTGCTATTATCGCTTCTCTTAAATATGGACATGTGATGATAAATACACATACATATAATGAGTCAGTTGCAGAATCCAAATAGCCCTTGATTTTCCTGCAAATATGTTAATATTTAGTTTACAGAATTATATTAAGCTGCAAAAGTCTATTCAAACAAGCTTGTCTATCACAATTATATGCATAAGGAATCCAACAAATTATGAGCCATATAGCAAAAGATATTCTTCATATCATAGAATTAATAGATTTCCTTGTGCATATGCATTATATATACAACCATGTAAATTTGTAACTAGGTAAACTAAGTAACTATGTAAACTATGTAAATTTTTTGACATTATAAAAGAAAAATAAAAGAAATATTATATATTTTACTTCTTATGATATATAATATATTGCTAAAAAATTACCTTAAATATTTTACTGGGCAATGCTTCATTTTACAACCTACTGCATCATTATTCAGATGAAATCGACAAATAGATGATTTCTTTGTGAAGAACATAACATCATACATTCGTGGTTCATTTATTGCCACTGTACTGCTATTTGTACTGTCGTGTGATTCTTCTTTCTTTAGATAACATTGGTATGTTCTGTATAAGTACTGAGGTATATATACAGCTAAAGCACCACCGCTTACCAATGCAATATTTTTCATCATCTTGGATTAATTACACAATTCTGTAAGACAATATAGATATATAGAACTTTTCAGAACTATTTAGATATAAAGATTAGATATAGGATGTTTTGATTACATATAGATCAGATATAGATTAGATTAAATATCTATTCAATAATACTTCAATAAATCAATAATATTATTAAATATATACTCAATAACAGATGAAAAAGTAATCATATTAATTTAAAGTCTTCACTTCCAATTTGACTAAAACTCAACAATCTTGTGTATTTTCATGCATAGAAACCAAATATGAAAGTTAAAATCGTCACTCTACCCCGCAAAGCAAGATATTAATCGTTAAAGTTAACAGGTATGATAGGTTATGAAACTTATAACAACACACACAACACAAAATGTAACGACATCAATATGCTTTATGTCCACAAGCATATTCAAAATGTCAAGAAGTGCGTAAATTGGAAACCTTATCGAGTACAAGGGGCAAAGCAATTAAAAAGTAACATAAAAAAAAGAAGTATGTAAATTTTGCATAGCATGTTAAGTATACATGTTTTTGAATACATTCATAATACACCCTACCTAACCTAAGAATTTTTCTAATCTTTTCAGTACCCATTACTTTCAGTTGTAGCTAATCTACGCTAAAATAACTAGCTAATCTACGTGAAAATACACAATATTGTTAAGTTTCAGCCAGAGGTAAAGACTCTAAATTGTATAATTATCCATTTAAAAGAAATGAAACAAATTCCCAATATTGGCTCATCTAAGAAGAACAAGTATAATGCAATAACAGACTTACCTATAACAGTGTATAAAATTTGATGTTGTTATTGTATTATTTTAAATGGATTAAATGCCCAAGTTTCCTTTTAATCGTCGATTTCTAGTATAAGAAATTATTTATCACAGAATCTGTGATTTGATTAATCGCTCTCGTTTAGTCACAAAAGAGAGATGTAGAGATAAACGTATAAAATAAAAATATTGCGTGTATAAAAATAAATCACTACACTACAAACAACACTCGACGACGTGTATACAAGCTGAACACAAGACGGCAGTATAACCCGAACTATCCTACTCAAGCACCAACGAGATACTAAAGAAGACTATCGATTTTACGAGCTTAGTGGCCGAGAAATCTCACCATGCATCAACGCCCTCTCAGTAATAGTATGGCCGGAATACAAACATTGGCTGCGTTTAGCCAATGAGAAAGCTGCTTTGCAACTGTTGTAAAATTTGTGAATCTGATTGGGGTATCCAGGGATACTCAGTTGTATTTGCAGCGCGTAGAGGGGATGGCTACCTTCCTCCCACTTCAGTACACTTGCGTGCGTCGAAAACTATCCTAGGATTGCTTTCCAATAAGAGACACAAGTCGACACAAACATCATTCTATCTTTGTTCCACATTTAGTGTTCCACATTTTAACTTTCATATTTGGTTTCTATGCGTGAAATACACAAGATTGTTGAGTTTTAGTCAAATTGGAAGTGAAGACTTTAAATTAATATGATTACTTTTTCATCTGTTATTGAGTATATATTTAATAATATTATTGATTTATTGAAGTATTATTGAATAGATATTTAATCTAACCTATATCTAATCTATATGTAATCAAAACATCCTATATCTAATCTTTATATCTAAATAGTTCTGAAAAGTTCTATATATCTATATTGTCTTACAGATTAGTATAATTAATCCAAGATGATGAAAAATATTGCATTGGTAAGCGGTGGTGCTTTAGCTGTATATATACCTCAGTTCATTTAGTGAGTAACAAAGATAGGATGATACTTGTGTCGACTTGTTGGAAAACAACCCAGGTACTCGCTGCGTTGGATTGAGAAAGATACAGGAGTGAGATAAAGAGAGAGAAGAGCACCCGGGTGAAGTTTTTGAACGCGCCTTTTCAGAGATGTGTTCAGATTCCCTACCCGAGTGCACTCTAGTACCAGAAGTGCTATAGTATATGTGACGTATATTATAATGTTTCTAGTAATAGAGTGCATCCGGATGAGGAATCTGAACGCAGCCTGTGGTGAAAGAACCACCGAGTTTTTAGTCTTGAAACCATAGGCTGCTTACGATAATTCGAGTTGGAATAAATACGAGTTAGTTTCACTAAGGCCGAAAAATATGATAGGCACAAGCATCTAGTATTTTTATGATTTATAACAACTCAATGCTGTCTGATAAATCGAGTAGAGTTAAGCCCTATGCACAATGCCAGGCAACAGGCAATAAGAATAGACATTAGCCAATAGGAACAGGGAATAGAAATAATTGACCAATTATATAGTTTTATATAATAGGGCAAAGAGAGGGAATTGATGTTAAAATAATTTTTGATATATAAAATTTTCACCTGTATCAATAATAAATATATTTATGCGAAGTATATTTTATTAAGTTTGTATTCATGTTTCTAAAATCCATATATAGTTCTAACAAACTCAATCGCATTGAAAGCCATTTATTTTTAGATTTTGAATTACATATTTGAAAGTGCGCTTTACTTACATTTGTAGCTCAGTTAGAACAGTGGCTGCGTTTCGAAATTCACTGCCAGTACTGAAATTCTATAATATACGTAACATAAACTATAGATTTTCAGTACTGGCATTTCGGAACGCAGCCAGTATATATAACAGTATAACAGTTATAACAGTTATAACAGTATAGTATCCAGCGAAAAATTATTCGTTGATTGAGGTCAAAATGATATCAAATAGACGTTGAAATCGTCAAACCGACGTCAATTTGATATCATTTTGACGTCAATCAACGAATCATTTTTCACTAAGTATATAGATGTCACAAACATAAAGTCTTAAACAGCTCAGTGGAAAGAGCGATTGTCTGGCAAGCGGAAGAAGACCCGAGTCGATCCCAGCCGAGTCTGATGTTTTTCATCTCATATGGCATTAAAAGTGGACATTTACAGATACACACAAAAGCAGCGCATTCCCAACCAAAGTTTTCTCTGATCTTTTTTTCAAGTGGATACAATAAAATTTATTAAATCCAAGGAAATTTTTTTGAATTGAAGTAATTCTATATGAATACTCTAAGAAGTTCTGAGGAACTCTAATCATGGTGCATGTAACTTCCTAAATCATTCTTATAATATTCTTCCACGAATTCCTGAGAAAGTACAATTCAGGAAAGGAGAAAACTTTAGGAACACTTAAATAATTCATTGTGCTATCTGGGAAGATTACATAAGAATTCTCTATCTACCTGAAGCTTTATCTACTTGAAACTTTTTACCTTTTTCTGAAACTTTTTTTACCTGAAACTTTAAACGCGTTTTTCTCGAAACGACTTTTTTCAAACTGCCTAGCAAACATTTAACGTCATCTTGTTTGCTGGGTGGTGTGTATGATAATTCAAAAACTATTTGATCAATCAAATTACCCTTTTACATTTAGTTTATTATATTTACTAGTTGAACCTATAAAATCTATAAAATTATTTATTTAAACAATATTTTTGCATATATAAAAGTGGATTTTTATAAGTAAAAATCGAATTTTTATTTCAAGGACTGCTTTTTTAATACTGCTTTTTTGTTCATTAGGTTGGAATGCTTGCCTCATAAATTTTTAATCCCTTGGGGACGGAGCCGCTCGACGGGCTATAAGGAAGATAAGACTTCATCGCTAATGGCCCCTAATGTCTTTGAATGAAAACGTGACTCTTTTACTAAACCTATGCGTATCTTATCGCTCAGAACGACAGACGTCGCGAGCCTTGCAGCTACGAACTAATTTGGGCGGTTATATGCCGACACGCGTCCGGAACGGTAAAACGGCTTGGGCGGCTATATGTCGACACTCGTCCCCAAAGGGTTAAGATTTATGCTCTGTGGGAACAGAGGTAATAAAGGCCTAACAGTGGTATTGTTTTTGCTACCTGCGGAAAGTTTTTCCCCATCGCCCTTTCATTATATACTGAGTGTGAAAGAAACGAGTCAGCAGGTAGTAAAAATGATATTTTCCTTATCCCTTATATTTCTTCACTTTCTATTGTTATTTTGTGCGGTATTGTATATGCGGGATTAAATTTTGCGGTAAGGTTGTGTAATAAATCCATCATCTCATTATTGTTAACTGTACATTTATTTCATTGTTTAAACCCTGTACTAAAGTAAACCCAGCGTGTCTAAAACATGCGTGTCTAAAAAATATGTGTGTCTAAAAGACATGCGTGTCTAAAAGACATGCGTGTCTAAAAGACATACATGTTTAAAAGACATCTTAGAGTTAGCTTTAAGAAATCTTTTAGACATGTATTCCTAAAAAATTTACGAATTCTCCTTTTTGTTTATATTTTTTTTTCTTCATTTTCCTTTATTTTCAGTACTTATACAGCACATGATATCATTTGTATTGTATTTTCATAGCAATTTGTGCTCAGATATAACGTCAGAAAGGAGAAAAGTCTAGAAACACTTAAAGGATTCATCGTCAGTGTATGAAGTTGGCACCCCACTTTTTGAAATTTATAATTTTGAAAGTTGTTCCAGATTGTTCTGACTTTGTACCACATTGTTCAAAAGTGATATTGCTTCATTTGAAACGATTTTCGAATAAAACAAAGTACTGTCAAATCGATTTTTTTACGAATTTTCGGAGAACGAATGATCTTATGAGTCTCATACTCTAGAACTATAATTCTTAAGCCTAGAACAACTGAGAACAAAAAGATCTCGGTTGGAACAAGAAAGATAGTATAAGTTTACTCTTGGTCCGATAGACTCCTAAGTAGCAAGGTGACATCTAAAGACGTCATTAAAACATCATAGACGTCTTAATAACGTCTTAATGACGTCTTTAGATGTCACTTTGCTACCTGGTCTGTCAAAAAACTTTTTTTTAATTTTTCGGGCTTATAATTAAACTTATTGATTTGTGCTTTTGGAACAATGTTTGGAACAACTAGAACAATCTATATCTGTATCGGAATGCTTTATTTTCAAAAAATGGGGTGCCAGGTCAAAAATATTTTTTTCATTTTAAGGGACTTATAATTCAACTTACGAATTTGTCCTTTTGGAGCAATGTTTGGAACAACTAGAACAATCTATTGCGGTATCAGAATGTTCGATTTTCGAAAAGTGAGGTGCCAAAAAATAATTTTTTTTGTTTTATTCAAAAACCATTTCGAATGAAGCAATATCACTTTGGAATAATGTGGTACAAAGTCAGAACAATCTGAAACAACTTTCAAAATCATAAATTTCAAAAAGTGGGGTGCCAACTTCATACACTCATTCATCGTGCTACTGCGAAACATTTACAAACACAGTAATGCTACATCATATATATGTCCTTTTAGATACTCCGCAGCCAATAAAATGATTCGTTCATTATCTGAAGATAATCTTAAGACGATCTTAAATATAAGATCCGACTATGAACACCGATCATAGAGTTATCTCTCGTATGAATTTCGTGAGTTGAAAATATTAATCTACAGGTCTGTTTTCCATTGCTGGGGCTCGTTTCTTGACGGTATGCGAATGAGATACACATGCGAAAATATATAGTTCACGTTACGTATACTGTAGATTTTCACATGCGTATCTCATTCGCACACCGTCAAGAAACGAGCCCCTGAACTAGTGTTCACTTTCTAAACTTAAAAAGAGACAGATATACAGATAAAAATTTTATGGAAGAAAGATGAGAGAGAATTAGTGCAGCCAGTTCAGGGTGCGTTCAAATTCCCTACCCGGGTGCACTCTGTTACTAGAAACAGTATAGTATATGTCACATATACTATAGCACTTCTTGTATTAGAGTGCACCCGGATAAAGAATCTGAACGCAGCCTCAGCAGTAGAAAACAGACTACAAATATACACCGTGCGCTACATTCGACACTGAGCAAGATATAATTTAAGATAATACTCAGATATACATTTTATCAATTGTAATACATCTAAAATATATTAGACTAATAGTTTACAGAAAGTTTGAGAGAGAAAAAGCGCGATGTAACAATGTTATAAATTGAAGAACGAATTCTCCTGTCGGATATCGGTTCGTCGCCGGATACGTCGGGTGCAAGGTGAATTCTGCATTAGTTCTCTGTGTATTGCGCGT